TCCTTGTCCTCTATTGGCCTCTAATAAAGGCCAAACTACTTACAAAGAGAAGTACGTAGTTTGACCTCTATTGGCAATAACCAAACATGGTTGATTTCCCTTCAGAAATTCTAAATAGCTGCTTTACTAGCTCTACCATGGTATGGCAGCCACTTGGGGTTACACCCTCTCTCTTCCTCCCAGCTGCAACTCATGGAGACTGTGTCTATAAAGAAAATCATATGCATTCCCTGAGTAATAATCCTGGCTTGATCTAGATAGGGCAATTCTGCCTAACCCAAGGCAACAGATATTTCACAACAGCCTGCAGTCAAAATGCTACGTTTACTATGTGCTAAACTGTACATAGTCAACATAATGTAGTTCAGTAATGCTAGCAACAGAGAAAGACAGCCAGCAGCCAAAGGCCTTGTACACCACCTATAAACTGGGCAGCTAGTTTATGTATCAAATAGGAATACCTAAAGTATTTCACCAGGACTCCAGTATGCAAAAGGATGGCTAAAAGGTAGGTAGATGATTACAGTGCTCAGGAACATTTACTACTCCTGTTGCCTCTACAACAAATAATCTAGACTGACTGGGCGAGATGACTCATCCATGAGAGGGCTTAGCAAGAATATTTGCTCCTGGTGACCAGATCCACCAGTCACTTGTTAATGGAATGGGGGCAAGGAACATATTAGAGGGGTATGTATAGGACTGTATTCAAGCTCAATATAGAGCAGTATAAGCCAGCATTAGTATGAGACAGATGAGGAATAACTTCTTCCACAAAATCTGGAGAGGGTGGGAACACCTGAAACTAAAAAAATCATTACTTGTGAACAGAAGTAATGCGTATTTAACTGAAGCATTGAGACATTCTCTGGGTGACAATTAAAGTTTATTTAGAATGCAAATATTATTTTATCTTCACTCAAATGTGTGCACTGATCTTGCTACACAATCGCAAAGCTTCTCTGATCTGAGCAAAGTATTGATCTAGTGCAACTATGTGCCAGGAACAGCAGTCTCCCTCATAGGTACATTCCACACACTTGGCTCTAGTCCAGAATACAGTGTACAGGCGGACAGACTTTATGCTATTTAGAGGGAAAAGCTTCTGTTCTACCTTCCAGAAGGATATCTATTATTATGTTGCAGGAAAAACAACAACAAATCATCTGGCACTTTAAAGACCAATGTTTATGCCATTATGAATCTGTTAATTTTTAATATGCCAAAACAGTTTCTATTATAATTACAGTAGTTTGTTTCTAGCTGTACAAATGAGTAGGGTTATTATGCTGCCACAGTGCTGACAACTTCCATGCAACCCTCGGCTCAGGCCAGAGATATGTAAAGGCATAATCTATTTTGATGGCTTAGTCAGATCTTTCATTTTCAGCACCAATATGGAATATGGTTTTTCCACACTGACTGTCCCAATAGTATGTAAAAAAAAAATAACCTGTCAGAATGATGCCATAATATGAAAATACATATAAATCCGTTGTCTAGAGGGGCGGGGTAAAAATCGAATAAATAAATAAATAAATTCAAAATAATATAAGCCCTACTATTGATTTCACATAATAATTTAATGTGTAAATCCAAATTCCACACTACACAATGGATATTTAATCCCTGCTGAATTACTAGACTTTCTTCCACATGTTATGAGTCCCAATTGAATAGAACAGACATTCTCAATGGGGGCCATATGGCCCCCTGAGTGGCCCTGGCACATTTGAAGGGGACCACAGACTGAAAAATGTAAGAAGTTTCTGAAATAAATGTGTTTGTGTTGTATCCTTGTTCAATGGGGGAGGGTTTAAATCTGAGAAGAGCTCCTAAGAGGGCCATGGCCAAAAAAAGGTTGAGAATACACAGGATTTTGAAAAGTTACTTTTATGGACTACAAGTCCAAAAAAATCACCAGCCAAAAAGCTGCAGTCCAGTAGGGGGCACCCCTTTTCCAAGCTCTGTTTCTGCACAGAGTGAGCCTGGTTTGGCCCTGCATTTGAAGTTGGTCTTAAGACTTCAGGGAGAAAATTAGATTTTGGGTGACTGTCAGGTTTCCTGCATGGTTTCTGGCAGGTTTTTTCTTAGTTGACTTGTCCAACATCAAAGAAGTATCTTTCTGCAGATTATAGTATCACTGTAGGGTAAAAAGTCACAATCCTAGCACTTGCGGTACAACTGATGCCATAAAGTGCATGCATTTCACCAAACAGTCATCTCCAAACAAGATTATGGCATAGACTAAAAACAACTTGTAGTCACATGCATCTTTACCAATTTTTAAATCCACCAACTACCCTCTGGTGTTTTTAAACCCCTACAATTGCTTGACAGCTATAGAAGCCTTCAGTCTTCTCCTGCAGGTACAACTAGTTGCACATTAAAGGGGAAAGCGGAGGAGGAGATGTTAAACTCCTTCTTTTCTAGCTGTTTTTCACCAATCAGCATCATGCACACACCCAACTATTTGCTGGCTCTCATTTCCACTATTCCTATCTGCAAATACAGTCACTGTTTTTTGAGATGGTGCCCCTCCTAGACAAATGACAAGGCAATTGTGAAAGAGAAAAAAATGCAGCAGAGAAAGAATTCAGCAACCTAGTTTTCCTTTGCTTAAAAATGGCATTGAAAAACCATGAAACAAACGTCATACAGAAAGGCACCAGTGATAAAGTGCAACATCTAATCTAAACCCAAGACCTCAGCTATTGCAGGAGACATTTTAAAATATTAAGGTGGAGAAATAATATATACATGATGGATAAAAGTCCATCTCCAGAAGAGACCAGTTAAGAAATCACAGATGGCAAAACTCCTAGAGATTTGATGTGGGCACCTGTGATTTCAACTATTTTTAAGACCCCAATCTCTTTTGTAGGTCACCCTCCCAAGATGGCAGCCAGTGCAGAGCAGCATTATACTTTTTAACAATTACGAGAAATAGCCATGTCTGTTGTTTTTGCTGCAGTACAACTCAGACTGGCACATTAAAGATGAATATGTTTATTACAGTACAATGTGGGTTTTATTTAAACAATACATTTATTTAGAACAGCATAATCTCTGTGTTTGTCTCTCTCTGTGTGTGATGTGCTGTCAAGCTGGAACCAACTTATAGCAATACTAAAAAGGCTTTCAAGTTAGTTAGATATTTAACGGTGGTTTTTCCAGTTCCACCTGGCCCCAGTGAGTTTCCATAGCCAAGTAGAGATTTGAACCCTGGGCTCCTGAGTCACAGCCTGTCACTGTATCCACTTACACCATGGTAGGTATCACAGAATAGCCACCTATAGTGGTCCTTGCTTGACCAGATAGGCGGGATATAAAATAAACAAAACAAACAAACAACATGATAAACTTGGCCTGATTAGGCTCTGCATCTAATGCAAGGCTTATGATATCATGAATTTTTTCCTCTTTAAGGTGCCCCAAAACTGTTGGTCCTTATGGAACAAGTTGTCTGTTGACTGCCAATGAATTAAAGGCAGTTATTAGTACTAAGGTTGTAAAAATTATTAATGTGTCAATCTCCACAAATAGAAATGCATTTAAAAATCTTAAAAGACCTTGGGAACAGAGGTTTAGGTGGTTTTTCTAGGTTCACTCTAAAACAATACACAGTAGAGCAGAAGACTTGGCTTTTCTTTTTCTTTCCATAGTGAGTGGGATAGTATCAGTTGCTAATCATACCTTACTGTTATTCCCATTCCTACCTTACACAGCCTGCTATTAAACTCTTTGCGCAACAAGATCACAACTGAATGGCATGGATTTGTGGTTTGACTGGTTTGTCTTATAAAACAGGCCTTCAGCCCTTGCCTGCAGGTACAACTAATTTTATCCTCTGCAGAAACAAATTTGCTAAGAAAGGGTGCCTCACAGAACTGAAAAGATGTGAGGGGAATAAAGGAGGGAAGTAAAGATGCATCAGCCGGTATTGACTAAATTCCAGCACTGACAGAAACCAAAGGAACTCCACAAGGCTAAGCGTAGCCTGTGCGTAACTGGGAAATGGAAGTTATCTGTGAATGATTTTCCTCATCACTACATCTCGGTATTACGAAAAACGTCACCTGTTGAGATTCTGCCTGTCACATTAACGACAGACAGAGACTGGGAGGGGAAGGTAACTCTGTCCCCACTCAGTCTTACCCATACCTTTGGGCGAGGTAAAATGATTCCTTCTGTTCCCCTGTGTAATACCTTAATTTAAGTTTTGTCTCCCAGAAAACCGTAACGAAGGGGAGCACTCCCTCAAACTCCCGTTTTAGTCTCTGTAATCTAGTCTCACCATCTAGTCTCGACTCTTTCTAGGCCGTGTGTGTTTTCCCCTCGTGATTTTCCACTCCAACCGGTCACAGGGCTCGCACGACACCATGACCGCACAAGTCTGTCCCTGGCAAGGGGTGGGGGGGGGAGAGAGACTCTCCACAGCCGCCACCCCCATGGCTCTGTTAGAGGGCACCGGCCTCTGAGGCCCGCGAACTGGTTCCTGTCAAGCTGGCGCGCAAGGTTACCTCGGCGGCCTGCGCCCGGCGTTCCCGCCGGGGGAATGAAACCATTTCCCCGTGGGTTGAGCGAAAGCCCTGAAAGACAGGCCGCCGGGCGCGGCTCGCCTCCTAACCCGAGGCAGGAAAGCAGAAATGGGGCCCAGGCAAAGCGTCCGACAGGGCGTGGCAGGCAGGACCGAGCGAAGCCCCACGCCGCGCCGCGACCCCTTGGCGGGCCCAGAGGCGCCGCTTCTCGCGACCACCGCCAACAGCCACCCGCTCGCCCAACCTTCCCCCCCCCGCAGGACTCTCCTCCCAGCGGCGGCCACGCTCACTCACCCGCCCGACAAATGAGGGGGAAGAACTCAACGCGTCCCTGAGAAGGTGCCAAAGCCCTCACTTCCTCCTCTGCGGACCCGCTTCGGACTCACCCCAGAGTTAAAGGGGACCGCCCCGAGCGCTCCGCTGGCGGTGATTGGCAGAGCGGCGCTGAGTAGAAGTTACCTCACTGAGGTGGAGCCAGTTGTCTTTTTCACCCCCATAGAAAACGCGCTCGGTGGGTTGAGAGGCCAGCAGTCTGCGGGGGGCGGGGGCACGGCGGTGCCCTCCCTCCTTCCCTCCCTCCCTCCCTCCCTCCGATGTCCTGTGGTGCGTAGTGCCAGCCTACGAGCGCCGCCGCTTGGGCTTCTTCGTGACGGCCCAGAGAAGGAGGACCTTGTTGCAGACAGACGGGCAAAGAGCCGCCCGACTCTGGCGTGTTTTCAGACGCGGGATACTGGCCCCGCCAGATCTTTTCTTCAGCCGCCCGATCGCGTGCGCGGTTGGTTAATTGGGACGCTTTCCCTGGGCTGAGCGGCCACCCAAGACCGCGACGCGTGCACTAGATGTGTGTCAGGATTTAAAAGTGGAAGGAGCAGTGGAAATGGTCTTATCGTGATCGGAGGGTGAGGAAAGGGGGGGGGCGATGCTTTCCCTCCAGCTGCTCCCCACTCCGTTATTATTTCTTGACCCGGCAGATTCCAGTGGGGGCGACTTACTCCTAAGTAAGTGTGCAAAGTTTTGTACACTCCGACGTGTTTTCTCGACGCTGCTTTATCCCGAGGCTTCGAAAGTGAAGTTTATGATCCGTTTTTAGATCGTACAGTACTGGACTTTCCTTCGGGTGTCGGACGGATAGGATTGAAATTTTTTGCGCACGCATGCACGCCTTTGGAGTACACTAGTTTTCAGGGCCTTTTTGTTCATCCATTTGAAAAGGCGATTGAAACTATGCAACCTGATTCTGTTTGCCACCGTTATTAAAATATAGTAATCATGACTGAAAATGTTTTTTCCTTATTTTTACCACGTAAATTACTTAAGGATATAGCACAAATAGATACTGTAGTTTGCAATTGATTTGTGAAAGCAAAAAACGAAGTATTGTGAAACACTTTACTAACCAATTAATTTCACTGTGAGTTTTTGAAATGGTTTGTGATATATGAAAGTTCACACTGATGTACGTTTATTAAGTTAAGGGTGCCGCAGTACTTTAGTTTTATTTTCCATTGGCTTTTTTAATGTTTTAAAATACTGTAGTTGAATCCAGCCAGAATCCTGTTGATTATTTATACTGAAGAGCTCCACAAAGGGAGTTTAAGTGGAGGACAATCTAAATACTGTACGATATAGTGAATGTCTTCTTGATATGTTCAGCTGCCCAGTAAATCACAACTCTTCTTAAAGGATAGGTGGGATTCAACCAATCATAAAATATATAATAATGTTGTTATTGAGAGGGCACGTGGAAAACCTATCCATATCACGTGGAAGGTCATCTATAATTCATCTTACAGCATAAAAGCAATAGTTTATCGAAGCCTCTTTGTTTTAAAGTTCCTCAAGCTCCTACTGAAATTAAGGTACCATGAACACTGCTTTTCTACACTGTGTTGGCTCAGGGAACATCTAGTTTTATGCCTTAAACATAAAGCAATGCATTTTCTTACCTTCATTTTTACTTGTAATGTGCCAGTTACAAACTATAGTAGAAAAATGCTTCCTAAAACAGTTGAGAGAATTGCTTATATTGAACTCTTTTTATTTAAACAGTGGTCATTTTTGCCACCTTTAACAAAGTGAGAACAGTTTTACTTAGACTGAAACTGCAACTTAACTCTATCTTATTACACCCATTTTATTTGGTGGGATTGGGGAGTTAGTAATGTGCAACATCCATGCAGTTTAACCTAGTTCACTATTGCTATCCAATTTCCTGGTATGTTGGCTTTTTGTCAGGAATACAGTGAGTGAGCCATTAGTGTGGAGTTTATCTCATTAGAGGAGTACGCTTCATGACTTTGCTTTTTATCCGCTCCCTCGTTTTTATAATACTTTGCCTGATAAATAAATCTAGTGATCTCAAACCCTTGTACATTTTTGTGACCCCTAAGGTCTAAGAAATATACTGTAATTTTTTTTAAATTTTGTTTTCTTAAAGCTAACACATTGGGAACATGCCCTGAATCCTTTGGGTATTGTTTGGAGAGCACAGCCTACAGATAGACTGGAAACTGAGAGGGTAACTTCACTTCTTAATCTATTAACTACTCCTAAGGGCCATCACAGCAGTGAAATTAACCTGGCAAAGGAATTAGGGCTTTAAGGCAGTCACGTAGAACGGCACTGGGTGTCCGCTGTGAACCACAAACGGTAAATCTACTATATACAGTTAATTTGTCAGAGGATGGATCTGTCTGTCTTTGGAGAATCAGTGCCCAGGCCTTGTTGCTGCTCAGTTACTACAGCTGCCAAAAATGATAAACCTGTTCTGTGATGCAATCAAGATTTTTAGAATATGTGCTATTACATATTCAGAAATTTGTCCAATGTTTAAAGAACATCAGTGTGCAAGTCAAAGTTTGAGTAATGCATATGTGTTGGCCAAGAAAGAAGGTGGCAGGCAATAATATGAAAAATAAAGTGAGCATGCTGTTTAGGTTACAAACTGAATCTCAGATCTTGATCAAGTATGCCCATTTCTCTTTCCCCTGCCAGTAACCCCCTGCAGACTCTACAGAATATCCACCAGTATCTTCAAGATGGAGAGGAATCATTATAGACATAAGGATCTGTTTTCTAAGAGGTCATGTGAAATAGTCGTTACAGTAAGCATAGCAATGCCAGAATATATCCAACGTGACATTCATAAGAGGCTATACTGTGTGTATGTGAATCTGTTTTTATCATTGCTTGTTCTTTAGAGTTTTTTTGATTTGTCACTCCAAATAAAGTTTCATTAACATTCATGGTACTTCTGAAACTTGAATACTGTATAACACTATTCTGCATTACATGTGTCAAATTCCCAGGATTTTCTACTAAACTACAGATTTCTAGTAAGGGACGTGGTGGCGCTGTGGGCTAAACCGCAGAAGCCTGTGCTGCAGGGTCAGAAGATCCGGCAGTCGTAAGATCGAATCCACGCGACGGAATGAGCACCCGTCACTTGTCCCAGCTCCCGCCAACCTAGCGGTTCGAAAGCATGCAAATGCGAGTAGATAAATAGGGACCACCTCGGTGGGAAGGTAAACAGCGTTCCGTGTCTAAATCACACTGGCCATGTGACCACGGAAAGATTGTCTTCGGACAAACGCTGCCTCTATGGCTTGAAGAGCGGGATGAGCGCCGCCCCCTAGAGTCGGACACGACTGGACAAAAATTGTCAAGGGGAACCTTTACCTTTACCTTACAGATTTCTAAGATTTTTAAAATGCAGCTCAATGCACACAAACAAGTACATGCAAGTGTTCCATTGTGCAACTTTACTTGCTCAGTGGAAAAATTCGTCTGGCCATCCATATTTAAAAACATTGAAAACCAGCCTGGTTTTATTTGCTTTTAATTAAAGTGTTTTATTAGTGGTGTTGCTGTTTTATTTATGGTCCTGAATTTTTAAAATATATACATATACATTACATACATACATACATACATACATACATACATACATACATACATACATACATACATACATACATACATACATACATACATACATACATATGCATGTATGTATATGTATGTATATGTATGTATATGTATGTATATGTATGTATATGTGTATATGTATATATTTTATATACATACATATATATACATATATATATACATATATATATATACACACACACACAATATATATACACACACACACACACCTATATATACCTATATATATATACCTCTGTGTGTGTATGCATGTATGTATGTATGTACACACAGTATTAATGTTTTGAGGGTTTTTAGTTCAGTCTTTACTTTGAGATTTTAATTATAATATATTATTAAATTTCTGTGTTTTCATTTGAATTTTACCTTGGCTAGACTTGGTTCACAAAAACAGCTTGTAGATATTTAATTAAATAAGGTAAAAGTCCAAACATGCAAGCAGTTTTCTGCTGATTTCAAGGAAAAGGGAAATGTTTCAGGCCTTTTATACAACTTTACTTGCTATCACAGAATCACATATAAGAAAGAAGGCAGAATGCTCCTTGGCTGTTTTCTACATTACAAAGGAACAGTAATTCAAGTGTACAACAGCCAGCTTATCACTGTGTCAGTACTGTAATCATATGCCTTCTACAGTAAAACCTCAGTGCAACTTAATGCAAGTTTAGTATGAACTTTATATATTACTTTCTTCTCAGTGTCCAGAGGCTCGTCATACTGATACACATCCTGCCCATCTTTGCATTTATACAGAGAAAGAAAACAACATGAATGCCTTACAATACACAATTGTCTCCTAACACTGCAGTTAGAAGAAATGAGGAGTTCACAATTGCTGCAGTTTGTCTATGTGGGTGGAACTGGGAATGCTAGTGGAAGGAGGAATGAAAAACTTACACCATTGTTCTCTTATCAGTAGAACAGAGGTTCTCTCAATTCACTTGAATGTCCATGTAAGAATTACATAGAAACTGTTGAGCCCATTAGTGTCTCGCTTGACGACATTGATTCGTTCCAGCAAAATCACTGTAGAGCGAAAACGTCATCAAACGAAATTTAAAAACCCATTGAATGCATTGAAAACCGTTCAGTGTGTTCCAATGGGCTGAATACCTGCTCGTCCAGCAAAGATCCTCCATAGGGTGGCCATTTTCCGGTGCCTGTAGTGCGAAAAATCAGTCCTAAAAACAGCAGGGGCCATTTTCTTCAGCTGGCAGCCATTTTGAAACCCAATGACCAGCTGTTTGCTGATCATCGTAAAGCGAAAATCGGTTCCCGAATCAGGGAACCGATCATCGCACAGCGAAAAAATCCCATTTAAACCATCGTTTGCGATCGCAAAAGCGATTGCAAAAACGTCAACATTAAGCGGATTGATCGTTAAATGAGGTAATCGTCCAGTGGGGCACAACTGTACTTATATGAGCTGAAGCTCAGTTCAGCCAAAACCTGAGTGTCCCTAAGCATGGCTTGAACACAAACTAGAAGCTTGCACAGAATCATAGAACTGTGGAGTTGAAAGGAAATTCAAGACCCACCTACTCCAACCTGTTGCCAATCCAGGAACTGACTGACAGGTGGCCATCCAGCCTCTAATTATAACCACCTAATG